GGAGAAGAAGAGGGCAGAAAAAGGAAGACTCCAGATTCCTGCTTCATTCCCTCCAAACTTTTAATGGAGGTTTGATTAGCAAGCATGTAATGTACTTTACCCCCACGGCTGGAGACAGAGGGGGAGGAAGGGGGAGGAGGAGGAGGAGGAGGAGGAGGAGGGGAGAAGTGGCGAGGGATGGAGGGAGAGGTATAGCAGGAAGGAGGAGGAGTGCATATAGGCTGCCCTCTCAGCAGGTCTCCTCATCTCCCCTCCTCCCTCCACCTCCTACACTTTATTCCTCCACTCCTTCAGAGCAGGACACAAGTTTCCCCCCCGACTCTAAAACCTAACATCACCTCCTCTGCACACACACTAAAGCCTAAAGCCACCTCACCACCTCCACCTCCTCCCCTTCCTCTCCTATAGCTGCACCATGCTGGGTAAGTGGTGGGTGTGGGTGGGGTAGGATGAGGTTGGAGGTCAGAAGCAGGAAGAGGTTTTTTTTGTTTTTTTTTTTGGGTTGCCCACCCCCCATTAACAAGCTGCACGTCTGCATGCAGGAAGTTGTTTGTGCACAGACACAATGCGAGTTTATTTGAATCCAGCAGGGAGATGTCGGCTGTGTTGTCACTCAGCTGCTTTCAGGGTTAAAGGCTAAAGAAAGTGTTGAGGTAGCATCCACCAGTGTGCCGCTCTCCCCGGCAGAAAAGATTACAAAGTAAAAGTCATCAGAAATTACCTGTACCAATCCTAACATCCACCTACTTTCCTACTAAGATAATAATAAAAGACTTTCACTCTCTGAATGATGTTGTAATTTTAACAATCAGCAACAACTCAAACCAACAATACAGTTTATTTTTAAAAGCAGCATCATCACAACTCTCAAATGGTACTTCATTAAAAAATTCTCCAGAAAAATGTGACTAATCGTAAGTTGATTTATTTTTGTTATTCTGAATTGTGTGCAAATCCTGTTTTTGTTTTTTTTTTTAAACTTTGAACAGTGATCTCACGTTCAGATTATTTTTACCATTGAATTATGAAGGTAGCATACAATTAAAAAGCTGTTTCTTTGTCTAAGCCAAAGTTAAAACTTCAAAAGTTTATTTCCTTCAAGACAAAAGAAACAAGATGCAACATTATCAAGCGTCTTTTTAACTTTCAACATCCCTGCTAACCTGTTCCTTGTTTAAAGTAGCCTCCTAAATGTCAGCCAGTTCCCCCTCAGTTATAATAAAAATGAAAATAAAACTTCTTTTTAAAGCGTGTTTAATGTATGAACAATAGAATTAAACGTGGGGTTTCTCTCCATCTTTCTGTGCCTCCCACCATGCCAGATCAGCGTTTCTCTTTCCCCCTCTGCCTCTGCCCGGCTGTGCTGTCGGCTCAGGGTGTGAGCAGAACAACGTTAATGTGTGGAGACACCTGACAAGCCCGCTGGCCTTTAGGGCTCAGCCTAATCACTCTAGACCCAAACCCATCGGGAATTAAACCTGCAAAACCAAACAGTCACTGTGGGAGCTGGCTGGCATCTGCTGGAGCCACTCGATCGGCTGCTGAGGGAAGGGACGTTACAATTTCAGGGGAAAATGTGTTGCTCAGAGAGAACCAAATCCAAACCTGAGGTAGATTTATGTGTAAACCTGGATACTGAACTACAAATAGTACACACTTTTCAAAGAAGTTTTGAACATTTGTACAACTGAAAATTGGAAAACTTGTGCATGAATGGATGGTTCGTGTCACTCATGCGTGCCGACTGTACTGCTCTTTCAAGGCTGATTATTTGAAAGTTTTACTGCAGCTTATGTATCATAATGAAATTCTATGTCTTTCTACTGTAGATGTTCCTGTAGGTAATTCTATACACGGCACATCTAATAGAACTAAGGTGTCAGGGTTGAATCCTGCCCGCATACACGAACATTTTCACATGCCATTGTATTAGAAACGTCTAGAAAATTGTAATTCTGTATGACCATGAAAGGACTGATAAATGCTGATGTATGACAACTTAAAGGAGGTCTGACAGCGAGAGGCCAAGAGTCAGTCTGAAAATGTCACTGTAATGCGTTTGAACTAACATTAAAGCTCTTTTCCATCATTCAGAGTACAGTACTGCGTTAACTTTAAAATTAATGGGGATTTTCCAGTGTTTAAAGTACAGTAGCTTGTTAACTCCGGTATCTGTTAAGCCACACAGGGCCCCTCTCCACTCTCTCTCTCTCCAGATGCCCTCATTAATTTTAGATTGGCTCTAAATGAGTCTCCTTCATCGCGGTCGAGGTTTTCTAAATTAGATTCATTTATATTTAAATTGTGAAACAGGCGTGGTTAATGAGAGAATCGTTATTTTTGGGGTTATTTCAGATGGGCTGATAGTTGGGCAGCTCAGTGTTGTGCGAACTAAAACCAGCAGAGGAGGCACACATGATGTGACGCCCACTGAATTTGGGCTTTTCATTTTCTCTGACAGTAAAAAAAAAAAAAAACGCATATCCAAAAGAGTGGAATAGGGAGATATTTGGTGGCATTTTTAATGGAAATGGAAGGATTAATTGTAATTTAAATTGAAGGGCCATCTTAACAGAAGAAGTATGGTTTTTGCATTAAACAAATGAAGGAATTATTATTCTTGAGAACTACATCTTTTGGACATGGACATCTGAAACGTTGTGGGGGAAAAAAAACTATATTAAATCATAAATAAGAAAAGTTTGTTCGAGTCTATATTCCCCTGCCCAGGTTGAAATAACTATTTTTTTTTTTAATTAAAAAAAAAAAAAAAAAGGAAGAAGCTTAGCAGCCTCGACCTGCTAAAAACATAAACACAACCGTCCCTTCTTTGTTTCCTTTGTTAAGATCTAATTTAACACTCTTAAAACTAATGTGTCACTTTCAACACATCTGTGAAGTTTTTGGCACCACTTGTGCCAAAAACGCATTACAAGACACACATGTTGACTTAACAGGTGCCTCCATCAGCACATGATGCCCTGGCAGAGCAGCGGGACGCCTCTCAGGCCTAAACTGCTGAATTTGGAGTGTTGAAAATGTCACATCTAATGAAAAAAGAATGCGAGGTGGGACAACAGAGCTTCCCCCCTCATCCCCCATGAACCAGTCCATCCCTCTCTCTCATAAAAAACTCAAATCACACAGCGCTTTACAGCTGTACGTCTCCTTACAAGGCTTCTTACAGCTCTCGGCGTCCTATAGCAACCCCCAGCTTCTCCCCGCCAGGAATTTGACTGTTAGGAATCTAAGTGCCAGGCGTTTAAAACCTGAGGAATGCTATTGTTCTGGTCACAGCTGCACTAGCACTGGTCTGGCTACTGCTGCCACTGTGTGTGTGGGGAGGGGAGAGGAGGAGAGGAGGGGAGGAGGAAGGAGGAGGAAGGAGGCCGGGAGGAGCCGAAGGTGTGAAAAAGGCAACTTTACGTGTTTCCAGTGCTCTGCGGTCTCATGACAAAGCAGCACATAGTTGACAGCGAGTTGACACATTCCTCAGGCCTGGACATTAGCAAGGCTCCATCTCTCCACCTCCCTGCCCACGATTGCTCCCTCTCCTCTTCTGTCTTCCTCCAGCATGATATGTTCCACTTCAAGTGTATCCCTCTCTTCTTTAAGATCAGATAAATGTACACAACACACATGCTCAGAGCTGCTAAACACACTGAGGTATGCAACGCAGAGATGGAGCGGAGGATTAAACCCACTGTAGGTTCAGCTGCTGAGGTATGCTCATAGTAAACATGCTGTAGTGGATGATCGAGGCTTTTTTGGGAAAACAATACATATTTCAGTCTGTCATGTTTCATTTGTTTGTGATGTAAGTGAGCGCCTCTTCTGTGGTAATTCCCACCTCACTGGTCAGCCAGAACAGACAATAGGGCCACTACAGTCGGTTCAAAATGTCATTGCCAATGACTCGACTGATAATATCACACCCCTCCTATGATCTCTGCATTGGCTTCTGGTTGTCTCCTCTCAGGCCAACCGGTCGAGGCAGCTGACTGGCCACCCTGATTCTGATTCTGTTGGAGGGTTTTTTTTTCTCCCGGCTGCTGCCAAATGCTTGATAATAGGGAGTTGTTGGATTTCTCTCTATAATGCTGTAATGTCTTGTCCTTAAAGTGCCCTAAGATGGCATACATTGTGATTTGGTGCAATATAAAAGTTATTAAAGTGAATAGTAGAATGTTTGATTTGGATACACAAAGCTGTCCACTTGTCAAATATGAACCCAGCAAAGGCCTTCAGCTTAATGTAGTATTGAAATCAAGTATGTGAGAGTGAAAATTCATTCTTGACTTGAGTATGACATGACCAAGATAAAACAAACCAAAACAAAATACTTAAAGGAGGTCCACTTACTGGTTTTATCTGTAGATCAACCTGCATCTTATACCAGAGTTTGCTCTCTTGTCAAGGAAATAACAGGTCATGTGATGACAACTGAGCTATCTACATGGGAAAGTCCATCCCCTGAGGAAGCTCATGAGAAGCATTTAAAAGTCGGTAAGTGGATCTTTTCAAAGATTTTATTTCATCTTTTACAATTACAGCAGATTGCTTCATTTCATTTTACCCAATGACTGTTGTGGGGGTTGTAGCCCCATGATTCTTTTATTGATCATGCAAACTTATCAAGTGTAGTCTACTGTACCTTTCATTGTGTTTGTGTTTTCTCTCATCTGTGTATTACCATGTAAAGCTTTCCTATATGTTACAAGAGAGGATGCAAGAGCAACAGTGGTGAGCTGGCAGAGCTACTCTCTCTCTCTCTCTCTCTCTCTCTCTCTCTCTCTCTAGTAATTACCATCCAGCTGCTTGGAGGAACAATGCTTGGCTCTCTTCCAGACGGCTGACTTCATACACTCTGTGCCACGCTCAATTTGGAGCGCAGCGGAAGCTGGGCATGACTGGCACCCTCCAAGGCATTGCTGTCTCTCTCTATGGGACTCAGTGTGTGTGTGTGTGTGTGTGTGTTTTGGTGTGTTCTCTAAACTTACCAGTTCCCATTTGCCATCCGGTTCATGCATGTTTCCAGGTCTCTTGATCGCCTCTTCACCCTCCTGTTACATCACTGGAAAAAGAAAACAAAATGAAAAAAATAAACACAAAGTAATAATTTTCCATGCGGTGCAATTGATTTTACAGTAATCTGTTGCTCTAAACAGATGAGTGTTGTAGGTTGCTATTGGGGAAATATGGGTGCATTCTGCCTTGTTTGCAGTAGTTAGTTAAGCGTAGGAGGAAGATTACCACCTATAGAAGCTCAACCATATTTGATAGGTGATCAGCAAAGTACAGAAACACCATGAAATGGTCTATTCAGTGTATTTAGCAGAGCAGATGAGCGTGAATTCATAGGAGACAGATTTTTAAAAAAAAAACAACCAAAAAAAAAAAAAACACTCAGCCTTGGTGAAAAGCTGCTGAGACTAAAAGGTCATAGTTCACAGTGAATCCTTGTACACCCACAATAGTTCCCAGTGTTTCCTGATACAAGGTTGTGTTACCAGGCAACAAGTACTGTTCAGGGTTAGTAACTTGCTGACTTTTTTTCCCTTCATACTCTAAACTTTAGTTCCAGAAAGTTAAAGGTGAGCCTTTGGAAATGTTGGCTAAGACAAATGTTAACAGCAAATCTACCAGCAGACGTCTGAATATGAAGAACTCCCTCATTATGCGGGTCAAAGGCAGCTATTGTTACCCTTCCCCTGCAACTCACACACACACAAATGGACAGTATGTGGAGGAGGGATGAGGGTAGATAAAATCCACCCCTCTCAATTCACATCTTGATATATGCATCCGAAGCGCCCTGCAGGCACTGTATACAACTGTACACACACACACACACACACACACACACACACACACGCTAACAAAAGCAAGTATACAAACACACACATAGTGCTCCCCCCCCTCTTCAACTCCAAACTTGACTGAATAGGGTGCAGTACGACTGGGCTCTTCCTCCTCCGGCACAATGAGGACCTGTTTGGGTCCAGTATGCCCAGTTACCCCGATCCCACTGCCCAAAAAAAGCCACACAAACAAACATGCATACAAAAACACCCACACACCACCAGCCCCAGTCTGGCTCTTACTGTTTTGGACAGAGAGGCATTTAAATAGCAGCGACAAACAGCAACAGTTGCTAATTGTTGTGTAACAGTCTAACGAGGAAATAGCAGCATTAAAACAGAAAGTCTAACAGTTCTCGTCACACCATCCAGCTAATATGGTGAGATTAGACGGTTTAGGGCACAACACTGGGCTCAACAAAGTATTTAAGACAGTATATATATGAGGGTATGTGTGCGTTAATCGTGTTTTTGTTCTTGTGGGCCTCACTAGGAGACAGACTGACTTTCATTAATTGTTTTATTAAAATAACTACTA